CAATTGAAATTGATCGAGATGCAGGTTAGGTTTATCAACAAGTGTGCGTTGAGTAGGATCATTTCAAGAATTTTTTATTCTTTTCACTCCAGGCCTTTGAAACAAAGCTGAAGCATTCTAACATCAAACGTTTGGAGCAGTCTTATCAAAATAAGAAAACACCGAAAGATGTGATGATTTAGTCATAGAGCTGTTCTTTGGTTTTTGGATTGGTTTAATCAAAGCGAACAGTTCTTGTAGCTATCTTCACCTGGAAATAGACTTTTTTCCTCTATCAATTTAAAGGCACAGTACACGATAAAAATGGTTTCTGAGATTCCCCATAGGATGAACTCGAGGCCCTTCGTATACCATATCTGGCGCTATCAGGTCGGAAGACGGTTGGGAATTATGAAGGCTCAAAACTTGGCCCATGTGTATGCGTGGACGAGTTTTATCGGCATTGCACAGGCTGCACCGATCACAAAAGAATCCATGTAGGAAGTTCAGACAGTTTGTAATGACCAAAAAAGACAGTAAAAAGCATTTTTATACAGTTCTTGCTTGATATAGTCAGCTCTTTATGTAACTGCAACAACTGAAATCTCGTCCGAACACGCCTTCCATGTTATTTCCATCATGTAGCCTTTATTTTGCTGGAAATAGACGAATTTTCTCGCTTTCTTCACTACCAATGAATTATTCCCAACCTATACTTCTGTTTTTTGAATAAAAAGAGGTAGCTCAAAATTATCGTGAACTGTACCTTTGAACGGCTTCTTCAAAAAACCCTTCACAGTACAAGACAATCAATGCCAGTTTCCTGTATAAATGCTTGAGCGCCTCCTTCCATGGGAAGGAGGACCCATTGGTTCGCAATGAGTCGTGACTTCTAAGACTACGCCGGGGTTTCGCACATGTCTAGGACCACACGATTTCAACTTCTTTCTATCAATAGTGAGTGCTTGACGGCCTAACGCCACGCTTAAAGGCACAGTTCACGATAATTTTGAGGTTCTCGATTTTTTTTACCCGCATACATACATTTTAGTTTTATCAGTTCAATTTCATGGGACAAGGCATTTCGCTATTCAATCCAAAATATCGCAAAACAGTGGAAAATATTGCAAATTGATGTTGATGTTATTAACAACTAGAATCAGGCAATCAAATAAAATAGGCTGACGTTTCTTTATTCGCAATGTTTGCTATAGATATTAATACAATATCATATCCGTATTCAGAACCGTAGTGGCGCATTGAATGCGTATATGGCCCATGCAATGACTTGCGGTAGCCAGCTGATGTTCAAGTCAGTGCTTTTATCCTCCCGAACAAGATGGTACCACTTAACGACCCCGGAGGGACGAAAGGCTTGGTTGGCCTAGGCAGATATCGAGCGAGGATTAGAACCCATGTCTATACCTGTGTGATAGGGCTCCACTTGCCACCACACTACTTCTATCGCTCACACGGTAAAGTTGAATGCGTGGCGTTTTCCTCAAACGGGGTTGATCAACCTCCTTTCACGAAGGCTTTACCTTTTTATTAATAATCGTATAATCTACGGGTGCCTATGAAGTCTTCTTGGCTCGGAGAACTAAAGCAGTGTTAAAAAACACAAATCTACCAAAGGTGGTGGTTTTGTTTTTATTAGTTCTCAACTTGGCTGAAAAGAAAAATTAAGCAGAAAGCTAGGCGTTCCTTTCAAGGTATTGTTGTAGCCAGAACATTGTTTCTGCTGTCCAGATAAAACTGATCGGAATTATTTTGAAAGAATCACACTCACCTTTTGGTTGCATCTCGAAGTCAAACTAGCTGCGAGCGGCGTCAACGACCAAACTGAAAGGCATTTCGATTGATTTGCATAGCCGATGAAATTCAGGGACAACCGATAAATCAAGGCCAGCACTTGAATACATGCACGGCGTATGCAGGAAATTAGTCAGATTAAATTCAGCGCATGAGAAGCATATGCAATTGGTAATGACTTAGCCGATCTGAAAACAGTTAGACAGGCACTTCTGTTACACTGATAAGGACAGTATCATTAACGTCGCTTCTATTANTTGCATCTCTCGAATAGTCGAACCAGCTGCGAACGGCGTCAACGACCAAACTGAAAGGCACTTCGATTGATTTGCATAGACAATGAAATGCAGGGGCAACCGATAAACTAAGGCCAGCACTTGAATACATGCACGGCGTATGCAAGAAATTAGCCAGATTAAATTCAGCGCATGAGAAGCAAATGTAATTGGTAATAACTTAACGATCCGAAAACAGACAGGCACTTCTGTTACACTGATAAGGACAGTATCATTAACGTCGCTTCTATTACTACAAATTGATGTATGACTTGTTTTTTTCTCATCTATAGGGCAAACAACAGCTAATATTTTGTTGGTTAGACGACTAGGGTGAAGAACGCAGCTAGTAAGTGAAAGCTTCCTATGCAGATTCTTAGGAACCGGTAGAGGAGACTGTAGCAGTGATTTCAGTGTCAACTAAAAAGTCCATCATTCAGGAACCAAACTAGTGTAAATTTTCAGGAAGGCTCTTCAGTTTTTAATAATTTTTGATTTGAAGTCACATTTGCGATAGTTTGGGAGTTGGGGGTTTTTGGACCAAATTCCAAAGTTACTGGATCTCTGAGATAATGTGTGCGAAGGGTCCTGGCTAAAATGTTTCTTCATAGCGCAGCACACCACAAAACCCCCTCCTCCCAGATGGTAATCCAATCGGATTGACCTAAAACTTCTTTCAATAAACAGTATACATGAAAGGTTTAGTCATCTGGAGCCTTCTGTGGGCGGAGAAACTGACTGAACTGTCCCGAAAACGAAGGTATGACTAGCCTGGAAACGAACACATAGTATATACTTACCGTAGGTGTAGGGATCTATATTTCAAGAAGATTTCTACAACGATGGCTCTTTACTTCTGAGCTCTCTGTCCTGAGTGTCAATATTCTTGCCCTCTTATGGTCTCCTAAAGAATGTAGCAACTGCCCAGCTATTATGGCGGAATACCAAATTTTAGGTGAACACTTTCGCATCATCTGTTTTTTTCTAACAATCGCAACCTCAGGTCGTTACCGTATGCCGTGGTGTACCAGCTCAAAATGGATCCGAGAAAAAAGGAAGTTTATCTGGTGAGTAATTTGTAACACAACTGCTATGTTTACTACGTAGTCGGAGTCGCTTGTGAAAAACTGCCACTTCTTCGTTGTATTTGATGATGCCAGATCGACCGCTCAACCTTTGCCCCTTTGATAGCTATTTCTCATATCGATTGTCTAAAATAGTTTCCGCTCGCCAATGAAAACTATGTATGATTTGTATATAAACGTTGCTTGTTACTTTCTTCCAATTTTAAAAAGAACTGGTTCTTCGGACTGTTTTGCGATCTTGATTGTGTCACATGCCTTACTTTCTCGACCCCTATTACAAATTATTCTGAGCTCTAATTGATAACTTTAGTCAAGAATGTTATTTCACGCTTACTAGTAGTATGAAACCAAAGTAAAAACTCGGTACAATCATGTCTGCCCTTAGTTTTCATTCTTGTTTGGCCCATAGCTTGACCAGAAGTAACCAAGGATCAGAAATTGACAGAAAACCGTTCATATAAATTTCTCTGGCCAGAAATCGAAGCAGTTGAGAAGGAAGATCCCATCGATTCATTCGAGCCATATGTGGATGTCAGCTTCTTTTTCAACAGGATCATTTGGGGTTCAGTGTGGGTAGTAGAAGTTGAATCCATTTACTTGTGGGTGCTTTTCCTATGGGTAAGCCAAAACTGTGTTTTCACTTTGACATGTTTTGCTATACTAACCGCTGCCTTGCTATCATGTTTTCCATAGTTTATCATACACCATTATTTACCTAAGCTAATCAGTACCCAAAGAAGGCTGACGGTGCACAATGGCTTAGTCCTCTTCGACTCTCTTTTTTCTTCAATTTTGCTCTGATGTGAATTCATAGCCTGATAGATCGATTCCGAAATGCCGAAGTTATTTTTTTATCAAATTAAAATATGTTCCAGTCTGTCGACGGAGTAGACGCGAAAATGCATCCAAAAGGTGGGTAATCTGAATGTGCTACTTTTTTCTCAAGGAATGCCTTCAATTTCCAGAGGCTACCAATCCTCCTTTTAGATATCGAAACAATCCTGAAGCCAATGTACGAGAAATTTGAAGAACTCTGTGAGAAGGGTGATATGGAGGGAGCTGCCAACCTCTATCACACTCAGGGAGTCGTTGTCAAGACGGGTGAGAGCGTCGCATTTGGAAGAGAGCGTAAGTTGTACACACGAAGATTACATTGAAATAATGATTCGGGAAAGGAGGAAAGTACAAGACAGATCCAAATTCTTACCGTAATCCCGTTCTTACTCCGAGTTACTACCACGAAGGGCTGTAGAACGAGGCAACGGTGGGGTTACGATGAGTTTTCTGCACCACACCAAAATTTTGTCCGTTTCCCATACAAAGGCTTTCAATTTGCCTTACCATTAAGCCTGTTATTAGCTGCAGCTCATTTTTAGACATTGTTTCATGATGCTGTGTAATGTTGAAGGATTTTTAACAAATGAGCTCGTAGCAGTTAGGAGGGCACGATGCCACCCGT